TTTTATTTTTTTTTCAGACTACATGGATAAAGTTTCATGCTATCATAACACTTGCTCCTCAACAAAACCTTTTTCTACCTCTTGAGTCATAAAACCTGATTCTGACCTTCCTTTGAAGGGCTTAACTTTATTGTAGCCTCTCATTTAAACATGGCAAGCCATGTGTTTAACATTCTGTAAAGCTTGCTTATCTGAGCAAAGGAATTTAGACAACCTACAGACAGACCAGCCGGCCTGACAGAGAAAGAATAATAGGCTTTCTGGACTGTTTGTTTTAGAACCAGCCATAACGTTTCACCATCAAAACCTGATTCCATGTGAAGCTAAAATGTTGCTGGAACCAATTTTGTAGCATTTGCATCATCAAGATTACGTAGAAGAGTACTATAAAAGTCAATGTTGGTATAAACACCAGGCAAATGTCAGTTTTGTAAAGTTGCAATGTTTGCTGATTTGCCAGATCAGTATGAACAGTCAGCCCTCGGAAATTTTCTCCCAGCCAGTCCCCATAAAAATCAAGATCTGCAGACTTTCGGCATATTACCCTATAAGGGATTCACAGGCATTTGGACGCCGACTAGCTGACTCAACTCAAATGTGATCTTATCTTTGGGCTGCCAGACAAAACACCTAAATCTAGTCAAAAGAAAACAATAAAAGGCATTTATGGCTTGATGACATCATGTTATGTTTCCACTGCACTAAAGAGATCAGACCATTTGTTAAACAGAAGTTATTATCTTCAGATTTATCCTGACACACATCTGAGGTCAAGTAACACATCTCTTTTCTAAAAATGAGGGTGAATCTCATAAAACCAGTCAAGAACAGATCTAGATTGTAATTCACTCCAAAAACCAAAATAAATATAAAGTTATATTTAATAAAACAGAAGCCTGTTTTAGGAACATTACAGCTTTTTGTGTTGTCACCTCATGATAGTTAATCAAATGTATTAATATTTAATTTTACATAAATTATTTCAAACGCTTTACACCAAAGATAATTTTTTATCATTAGGTATTATATTACTAATTTCCCTTTTTCGAGATTCACCAATGTATTATGTTTCATACCTGCCAGTGGTTCTCCAGCAGTGGTGACCTGAACAAATATAGGTTCACTCTCCAGATTCTCTTCCACTGAGTAGATGCTGATGTTATAGAGCAGACCAGGACGAAGGTTACCCAGGGTCAGTGATGTGGATGTGTTAGGCAGGTTCAGCTCAGTGCTACCAGAACTTCCCTCTTCAGATGGTGTGTAAACCACACGGTAACCTAAATAAACAAGACATACACTTGTTAGCATTTATTTTGTATACAAGTTGTGTATAGGTCACATAATGGTATGTTTTACTACAGGCTAAAAGCCTGTGTTTACCTGTGATGGGAGCTACGGGTTTAGACCAGCTGATGAGGATGGAGGTCTCCCCCACCTCCTTCACTTCATGATCAGAAGGAGCATCGGGAGCTGTAGAAGCAGAAGCCAAAAACCATCACATTATCATCATGTGAAATACTGCAAGTGAGAGTATATGTCAGTGGCAATTGAACATTAACAAGAAACTGACTTTTTACAGCAGTGAAATTTCTCACATAAACACACTTTAGTTATAAGTAGGTAGACTCTATTTAATATTTATGTATTATTTTATTTAGTTTTAATTAAGATTAATTTAAATATACAAGGCTACATCTTATCTAATGAATATTCAGAGCACCTAGAAATACATGAAGTCATATATGGTTCTTTCATGAGTTTTTGAAGAATTAGAAACAGGACAGGAGAAGCAGAGAGACCAAGAAAAAGCAAAAAAAAAGACAGAGAGAAAAGGTTCACCTGTGGTCTGGGAAGTAGTAAGGATCAGGTTAGGTTCTCCTTCTCCTGTCACTTCATACACATTTACAGTGTACTTCCTTCCTGGGAGAAGTTCACTGATGTTTACGGATGTGGCCGTATGAGGGAGGTCTGGAAACGGATAATCAAGTTAGCAGGTATAATAAATATAGACATTCAACTTCTACAAATCAATTGTGGACAAATGAGATTTGCTAGCAGAGCTCAGCTGACTAAAACAAAAACACCACACTTGTGATGCACATACTGACCCAAGACCATGGGCTGTCCAGTCTGCCCTCCCTCCTCACTCAGCTCATATTCCACCCTGAATCCAGACACCGTGTCGGACGCAGACACCCAAGAGATGACGAAACTGCTGGAAGTGATCTCAGTCACAGACTCAGAGGTGTCCACCATTGGAGGAGGCAAGGTGGTCTCTCCCTCAGAGGTTGCCACTAGGGAAGAGATGGAAAGTGGAAAATTAGCAGCCATAACATCCAAACATTTGGATGCAATTAATCCCATTCACAAACTGATGAATTCAAGCATGAATTATGCTTGGAAATTGTGTGGTTTTATGCACAAATACATGCACGTGCACGTTTAGTGAATGAGACCCATTTGCACTGTTGGAAGACCTACATGATCCATGCACGGTGGAGAAATCAAAGCGAGTGGTTTCTCTACGTCCAAAACTCAGGATGCTGATGAGGTGACCTTCGTAGGTGACTCCAGGCTTTAGTCCAGCAATGGTGTAAGAGTTCAGATGGCCTGGAATAGTGACCTCCATCCATTGGGTATGGGTATTTTTCTGTTCAAAAACGAGTAGGTTGATCATTTTTATTAGAGAAATAACCTCTCTGATACAATCTGAACTTAATTTGGGGACATGCAGCGTCACAAGAGACTCACCGGTCTCCACCTGAGTATGTACTGTGTGATGTGAGCAGAAGCCGGCACGTTCCATTGGATGGGGTGGGAGTTGGGCTGGTTGCCAGATTCTGATATAATCACCTGGACTGGACGATGACCACCTGATAGAGATATATAAAATATATATTCAATATTTAAATCATATTTACAGCCAAGAGCACCTGTACTTGCAAAATATAATATTTAAAAATCTGAGAATATCATACTACACTCTAAAAAATGCTGGGTTAAATATAACCCAGC